TGAAAACTATGTATGAAACTTATGTGATTATGATGTATTAAATGTCAGATGTGACATTTGGATAAGAGAAATGATTGGAACTGCTGAAGTTAGTTACTTTGCTCTAGCCTGACTCATGTGCAGCAGGTGAGGGGTTTAGATGGATGTCAAAGAACTAACCGTTGTTATTTTGTCCTTTTGATGTGATATTAGGACTATAACAATGAATAATATGTATTAGCGTTAAGTGACCTACAAAATTGTACGTAGTAATAATTAGTAGTAATAAGTTTCTATTATGTAGTCCGAGAACGAACTACAAGTCAGTATGGCCGTGATAAATAATGTAAAATTAAATTATAAACATCTTAATATTGTATTTCGATAGAATGTTTAAAACTGTTACCGGAAGTTATAATATTTTTGTCATTTAATTATTTTCATTTAAAACAATTATTTCTTATGTAAATTAATATTTAAAACAGTGTTTGCGGATGTCTTAATATGTTTGGTTCAACTTTATAATTTAATTAGTAATTAATTGATAAACTGACTTATGTGGGTAGAAAGTATAAAAGGTAAGTACAAGTGACTTTCGAGTTAGTTCTCGTCTAGTTTCGAAGGAGAATACACCAATACCAAGTTAAGTACCAATATTGTTCTTGAAGTTGCTATTTTTGCTGTAAAGTTTTTACAGTAAAAGTAATAAAGTATTTTTGTTATTTTATAATAATATAATGTGTATGATGTGTGATTGTGATTAAATACATGTTTTAGTGTTAATAGTTTGGGTTTAAGAATACTTAATGATAAACAGAACCTATTTTCTAAAATATGAAATATAATTAGTAAAACGTTACTTGTAGTTTGACTTATTAATTTACAATACTTTCTTATTTAGTTAACTTCTAATTAATGAATTATATTGCTTATTTTTCTCCGTTTATAACACGCGCGCCTCAAAGAGCCATCAGACCACGGAACCTAACGGGTAACCGGGGCTCCGGCTCGACGTGCAGGAGAAGGAACGGGGTGGTTTTTAGTCAGTAAGAGCCTGACACTCTCTCCCGTCTCACCCAGGCGGGACCAGCCATTCAAAGATGTTTCCCCCTTAAAAAAAGGGGGACAAAATAGGGAATAAGAGTTTGTATAAATCTTCTTAGCCATTGAATCTAGAATCATTGAATTCGGGCAAGAACCCTGCGGGATTATTGATTTATTGAAACTACGACAAATCATTTCACAATAGGTAAATCTTCTTGGGCACTGAATTGATTCTGATGAATAAGTACAATGATTAACATCGTATGTATCAAGTGTGGGGGAGCCATGCTACTGCGCGAGTCTGTACGAGTATGCCGACTGGATTGATATCACGGCCTCACAGATAACCGACGTGAAACAACGCTTGCGTTGTGTTTCGTCCTGTGAGTGAGGTTACCGAAGGCTCAAGTGCTTCTGGTATTCCAGGTGTTCATGGGCGCCGCCGATTGCTTACCATCAGATGATCAGTATGCCCATTTAGCGGCTTATCCCATAAAAAAATTATGCGTTTGCTGTCCGACCCGAGTATTTCATAACATTGTCATTGCTTGTATTTGGTTTTTCCGAAATGCTAAAACTAGCTTTTATTTTTACATGTTTTGTTACGTATTTAACCGACTTTAGAAAAGGAGTTTCATAATTATTCGTTGTTAAATATCGAATACCTAAATAACAATTTTGTCTGACCTGACAAATGAACTCGAAGGAACCACCTCAGTATTTATCACCAGCACATCAGATACCAACCAGGCAGATAGATAAAAATATTGAATGCTCATTTACAGTGATTACACTCCCTGTTAATACCAGGTATGATATTTATGCACAAGTGGGAGATTTTATTTGTAATTTACAAGGATTTATTAAACTGGCAATGTCTGTATGCGTGTGAAGTAGAATCTTGCAACTGAATGTTAAAGCAGATATCTTAAACCGGTCGAGCTGAAATTTTGTAAACACGTTTAGTTTTCATGATCATAAATACTTATTTTTTCATAAAGATTTCAATATATTTTATGTTTTACGAAAGAATAGTGTACTAAGTGCCAGTTACCTGACTATTTCATAAAAGGTGTCGATCAATCATATAGTTAGCTACGTTTAATATTTCCTGTTCGTTATCTCAGAAGACACCTAGTTTACCATAGCCTTTACTTGAGGCCCAATACCCCAACCAATTCCTCGGGTGTCCATAAATTATTGAATGACGAAAATTGATTTTTATAAAGATATCGTTGTCCTACCCAATTATTTTCTTCTGTGTCGCGCTAATCGAACCCGCTGCACGTTACATGGCAGCCGATTGCCTAACCACCGCGACGACTCCTCAGTCTTATGTCGAATATTCATAAATATGTACCTAAATGCGACTGTATAGTTTGTGAGGTCACGAAGAGATAAGACATACAAACGCGTATAAAAGTTCCCGTAATCTGCATATACCTATCGTCAGTTCAACGCCCAGTTTGAGCAGCGAGAACAATCTCAGTATCTACTGGCATCTACGAATATCGAAGCGATGAAGTTAATTGTGAGTGCTATCTATAATTAATTCAACTTCTGCAAATTTAAATTTGTAGAAAATTGTTGAAAGGCTGAACGGATTTGGCTAATTTCGGTAGCTATTAATACCGAAATGCAGACCTTTTCGAGGTTTAACGAGAGTAACGTACACTAATTCATTTTTGTATAGATTTAACAAAGATAACGAAGTCAGGGAAGAGAAAATTAAAAATAAATTTAAGACTAAATTAAAAGAATATCTGTTTAGTACACTACCATAACCATATATGTATTTAAAATTAATCATAACCACTATCATAGTAAACTACTAATACTAAATAGTAATTTAAATATAAAAGATCCAACAGTCAAACTATTTATATATAGTTTTGTTGGACATGGCGTTAGATTATAAGGCATACTATGTACCTATATTATTAATAAATAAATAAATAACGAAAAAAATAGGTGCACTGCTAATAACTTGACTTAAAGGTCATTTGTTGGTATTTGAATATTTATTAAAATTCAATATTTCCCAAAGTTGAAAGAATTCGAACTAATCTCCATACACAATAGCAGCAATAGCGACCGTGTGACTAAAGAAGCAATCGACTGAGGCAGCACTCAGCAAATATTAATGAGTAAATATTTATCTTGTTCCAGGTGACATTACTTCTGGTCGTGGCGCTCGTGGATCTATTCCATTGTGAGTATCTTTAAGTAACCTGTTACTAGCTCTCCAAATTGATGTAATTGTAATCGTTTTAGTAAATATTAAGAATAAGAATAGAATAAGAATAAGAATTTTATTTGCTCAAACATGTGTGTGCATACAGAATTAAAATATTACAGCATCTAAGATCTTAGACAAAAGTGGCTTACGACATGTCTGCCATTTATCATGGCGTGCAAATATCTATTATATAAAAAAAAATTTTGATGACTGTGAATTATTACATTAATTTTAAAATTTACACTCATACCTACATTAAATATCTGCAGTATCATATTATAAATATAATTATTATATATGTCTTACTCATACGTATTGCCCACATCATTTACAGTTTTATTGTTGAATTAGCTTTTGTTTATGTTTTTTTAGTTTTTTTTATATCAAATCTTAAGTTTAAATATAAATATATTTTTTTAAGGTTAATTTAATTCCAATCAAGTACAGTAAAAATAATAATAATTTTGTAAATTACAGGTACACCAACGGATCGCAAAGCTGATTATGTAATAGACAATAGCAGTTCTAAAGATCCTGAAGATAAACCTGTACCAAGTTCAGTCACAGAGAAATGGGAAGTGGCTGGGTCAGCCGCGAAAGTTGTCAATCTCGATGATTCTGTACCCGTGAAAACACACGAAGAAGCTAAGAGTCCGGTCGCGACTGCGGAACCTACCACTTCTAACGGCTTTCTTAGTTCTTCAAACACTGAAAATACGAGCAGTCCAAAATACCATCCTCAACAACAGAAACCACACCCTCAGTTATACTCACAAGAAAACCCTCAGTTATACCCACAAATCCCTGATACATATTTTGTATACCCAGTAGCATATCCTCAACCATACCTCCAGCAGTATACTCCAGTTGTTGAATATTCTCAACTGAATCAAGCCCCTGGAATTCCAAGGTACTCTGTTCTAGTGCTATAAGCTGCCACAGAACAATAGAACTAAACAATAAGGCAAAAACTTTGAATTTCTATCGACTTTGGTGTCTTCGATTTACTTGGTGTTATTGTTCAATAAATGTTTGAAACTTATTATGTGTCTCTTTATTCTGATCTTAAATTTTTTTATGTTCTTAAGATTGCTTAAGACATAAAAAAATGTACCTACAATTTGACGATTTTTTAAAAACCTTGTTGTTTTTTGATGTCCTGCAAGATTGTTGGTTAAAGACAAAGCCAAAATCATTTCTAAGTACAGTCCAGTATAAGTCATTTTAAAATAATCCACATGTAGATTATTCCACATTTTGTATAGAGTATAGATAATAAATTATAGCAATTTCAATTACAAAAAAATATGTACACGTTAAATTAAACTAAAGATTAGATAGATTCATTTATTTGCCTGAAATATGGTAGTTAACAGATTTTATGACATAACAATAGTTCATCATATCTCGCCTATAAATTTGGCATGCAAATACTTTAACAAAACTAAATCACAATTTTCAAAAATGATTCTAAGTTAGAACAAACAATCAAAACACAACCCTTGCTAATGATTCCAAATCAAAACAAGACAAACTAAGTTACAATTTCCAATAATCAATAATTACTCCAATTGAAAATAAAAAAAATTAAACTACAATGTTGTTGAATATCGATAATTGGAAAATAGATATAATTAATAAATTAAATTCTCGAATTGAAATCCAGAGTTATTAAATTAAAAATGTCAAAAACAAAAATTTTAGGCTTCAATGAATGAATTACAATGTCAATAGAACAATAATATTCTGCAACAGTGGGAGATGAATTCATTGACTTAGTCGTGGGTATAGGAATGTCCGAAAAGAAACTTTCAAATACAGCTGCAACTTCTGCGTCCGATTTTATTACATTATTTGTAACTTTTTATCCTAGTCACCACCGGACCAAGACTCAGGGCAGAACAAGAAACTCTTAAATAAAAAAATATTCATTAAATGATATCCCAGGGCGCCATGATTCTCGTAATGGGGGTATACATAAATTGCTTAAAACAATTGTTACAGTCACATATTTTATCGCTAACTTTATTTATATTTGTGACTAATAATATTGTCTAAGTATTTCAAACACTAAAATGCCGAATAGTAATATTATGGATTGATTTGGTTTTCGAACGTGGCAACACTATCCCTGTCGGGTATTCGCGAGGTTTTGTTTTTGACAGCAACAGATTAATTTTTGTAAAACAACATAAAACAAGTGAATACAAATTATTATTGAAGAAGTCTGAGTTGTAATTAAGATCACCATCCTTCTGAGCGTTTTAGCTCAGAAGTGGGATTACAATAAGACATATTGTTTTGTTACGCCCACAAGTTAACATCAAATACAAAGAAACGAGGAAGTTCTGAAGAGAATCGGATAGGAGCCTAGTCGTAGACTTCAAACACTCATAACACCTAGGAGCCCCATATTTTTAACAAAGGAAGTCTATCGTGATACAAGGAACAGCAATGGCATACAATAAAACCGAAGTCGTGTCCTCACACGAACGTCGAAACCAGGATCGAAGTCGAAAGTTTAAAACTGAAGCTGGACTAACTGTCATCGCTTTCAGAACATTAAGGTCAGCCACCACTAACGGTGATTTGTTATTACACCAGAATTTAAACCTTAGCTCACTCGAGATTTGATCAAGTCATGTCTAAAATATGTTTTTCTTTCTTTCATGAATTGCGCGAGAGGCTTTATATATTGGAGCAAGAATTGATGAGACAACGACGCCGCAATCTGAAGTCACATGATGTCTCTGGTGATCATGGACGGCATGTTTGCAAATCCAGTGTGATTCATAGCTCCTTTGGAAATAACACCGAAAGCTTGAGTTCTCAGCAAATGAAGTTCTTTGAGCTGCTAAGTTTTTGAAGAATTTATTAATGTCTTTAAGGGTAAAGATTTTGAATGGTGTCTGGTAAGATATCTTTTGTTTTTAAAGATTTATTGTACCTGTATTTAATTTACAATGCAATTGCAATGCACTGTACCTAGACGTGATAGTGTCTACATGACTCATGAGCTTGGGCAG